GTTAAATTAAATTTAAAACTTTTTGTTGCACGTAAGGCTATTGCTAAAAGTTATTTTGAATTTTAATTTTCAACATTTTGCTATACCTGTGGCCAAAAGTTACTTTTGATTTTAATTTTTTTTCTTCTTGCTACAGATCTTGCCGTGGCGAAAAATTAGTTTATGGCAGTGACTAATATATATATATATTTTTGTACATTACTATTACATTAATGTATCCAAAAATTTCTACCTGACATTATACATGTATTTGCCACTTAAAAAGTAATACAAAGTAGCTTCACTAAAATAATACAAGATAAATCTATAATCAAACATATCATAATTTCATTTAACCAAATGATTCATAAATTCCATCTGCTATAAATAAAAACCATATAAAAACATCTCAAAATACTTTAAACCTCAAACCAATTTCAAATGTGTCAATAACTTAATACCATATATACTTTTCTTCTACGATTTCTCCATCAACTATTCTCAGCTTCCATCATATCCTCTGAAAAAGAAACAACAAAAGTGTAAGAAACTTAGTTGAATAATTAAAATTCATCGAAGCCAATACCTATTGTACTAAAACAAAAAACATTAAGTGAATACAAGTATTCACGCTATCCAAATTCAAAGCACAAAGAGCAGCACAATTATTTTCACCATAATTTAAAAATATTTCTAGGAACTTCACAATCCACTAAGAAAATAGAAACATTACATTAATATCCCGATATTTTTGTTAGTAATCCCTCAAGGCATTTTTGTTGTATACACCAAATCACTATCACTGATTCTGCATGTTACAGACAAGAAATAAGTGAGGCCAGCGAACAACATACAAAATTTAAGTGTTAGAAAATAGAAATGGTCAACACTGATATGTTTAAGCATATAATATATTTAAGGTACCTCAAGTGTTAGAAATGGTCAACACTTTATCAATTAAGTTGAGATGATCACTTCATTTTCGGTCTGAGGTTTTGGTATGAGCGACATTTGTGGATGGATGAAAGACTATTATAAAAAACCTGGAGTTCATGTAGGCTTTCTTCATAAGGGTGGACAGCAGAGCTTTCCTTTATGCTTGTTTCTCAAAAATGATGCCCAAAGGTCTGACATTAATAGGCTTGGAGGATCGTTCAAACATCGAATGAAATATCACCCTTAAACATGCAGCTCAGATTCCCATTAGGGATGATCCAAAAGCGAATGAGGCTGCACTAAACTTGGTAAAGAAAGATAAGCTGCGAGAGGTGCAAAAAGGACATGATGGGACCTGGGCAGCCCACCCTGGTCTCATACCTTCTATAATGCTGGAAACATTTGTAAACAACATGGAAAACACCCCTAACCAGATACAAACCATGAAGCGAGAAGATGCAGCCAATGTGACTGAAGAAGACCTCCTACAGATACCTAAAGGGGTTCGAACATTGGAAGGCCTTCGGTTGAACACTAGAGTAGGAATCCAGTACTTGGTTGCCTG